TTTCTGGACAACCTGAGCCAGGGTCTCAGCACCCTCACAGAGAGGAATTTCTTCCCAATATCCCATCTAAATCCACCCTCTGTCAGCTTAAAGCTATTCCCCTTTTTCCTATCAAAACCCCAGGTCTGGGTTCTTTGCTTCAGTGAAGGGCTGGGTTTTTTTGTGCCATAGATTGTGAACCCAGATCCCAGAATGGATTTGAATCCAAATTTTCCACACTGGGTGAATATGCTAACAGGTGACTGGGATATATCCCATAATACTGTCAAACTTGACAGAGACTGTACATTTTGTGCAAAACCACGTAAACCCCACACTGTCAAATGAAAGAGGGAATTTTATGCTCTCTGTTCCCCTCTGATATATGTTTGGCTGTCATCTTATTTCATAGTTGAGGCAATCGAAACAGTGTTTAAATGTGTATCATAAACCTATAGATGAGAACATTTCCCTGCTGGATTTAAACCATTACCCCCAAAGGTGTTAAAGAAACCACGCTGTGTGTCACTTTTTAAGATCAAGGGGCATTTTTGATGTTAATGCCTAGAAAAGGCAGATGAACACTAACAGCTGCTTATGCACAGGCTGGTGAATTGAATAGGGAAATACTTCTGTTCTGGAAGTCAGATCTCCAGAGAAAAATGATAAATTGTGAGCATCCTTAAGTAAGAGTGATAGTCTCTAAGGATAGTTGAGCAAGGCTGATAACATAAAATATGTAAAACGGGGAAAATATTTAATACTTCTGTTTCTCTGCTCTAAGGAGTTGGAAGGGTTGTGTTAACAATATATACGGTGCTGCTGTGCTCAGGCATGCAGGAGAAATGCAATATATTAGTTCTCAAATCAGTAGTTTGTGAAATGCGTTTCTGGTATCCAGGGATTTTCAGGACTGTTACCCTGATAAGGAGTCAAGGGCAGCCTCCTCATGGGCTGGGATGGCTCTCTTGGGAGAAGAAGGGAGCAGAAGAAAAGGAGCAGCAGATTAAGAGCTTTTAAGAGCATTTTAGTGTTCCTTTACTTCTAAATGTTGATTTTTTTTTTTTAACTCTTCAGTTTGCAGATATTTAAAGCTCTGCAGCAGCTTCAACTCTGACTTAGAGCTGATGAATCACCTCTTTAAAAAGGCCTCCTGTAGGAAGTTGTGGTGTACAAGGAGAACCTTACACCAAGGGAAGTTTATTTCCATAGGAAGCATGTGTGATTCCTGTGGGACAGACAGAAGGAGAAGGGAGAGAAACTTTCCCTGTAGACCCCAATAACGATGTTCTGGTATGGGCAAAATGTGTAGGAGACCAGCAAAAATAGGGAGGAATAGCTAAGATTCCAAATAATTTCCACTGCTTGATCACCTAATAGAAAACCTTGAAATTTTGCTGGCTTTTTTATGCAAGGAACTCAAAGTAAAACCCTGCAGGAAGGGAAGGTACAGAACGACCAAAGGATTTAAAATGCAACCTCATTCAGGTTGCACCACCAGGGCTCAGACCTGCAGAATTAGTACAACTGGAAGGAACTAAATATACCCTTTTTTTTCTGAAGTCTCTGGCAAAGAGGGAGACAGAAACATACCAGGTGTGTCCTTCCAGGTTGAAAGCAGAGGTGCAATTTATTTTTTCCTGCACCAGGTTTAATGAAAGAAATCTGAGAAGCCGTAACCAACACCAATAACAAAAAAAGTATTGTTTATTGTTACCTTTAACTGGATAGCTTCTTAAACTGAAAGTTCCAGTGGAATAAAAATAATCAGAATACAGAGACAGGTATCTTTTTGAGGCAATTAAGTTTTCTCACCCCAAGAAATAAAAATATAAAAGGAATATTTATTGCTTAGAACTCTACCATTCAGGTTCCTAGACCCTTCATTTGAGTCAGGAAAGCCCCTGGTTCAAACTCTGCAGCTTTTTGCTGTATTTTATGTGATGCATCTGAAGTTTTTCATTTTTTCTGCCTGCCTGGTTAATAGAACATAATTATTTTCTACCCTTACATTGTGTGAAACACATAACTTCAGTCTGCCAGCCTCAAGGAACTGCAGCCTCACTATAACACTTTTTTATAGCTTGAGGGAATTTTTTTACACCTGAAAACTGGGATTAAGATTGTAAATTCTTTTAAAATAGAGTTGATATTCAGTTACATGTGGCTTTGTGATTGATGACTGTATCCTGCTCAGCTAATCTCAGTTTGCCAGTAAACCCGTTATGACTATGAGAATTTTAGGTTCTTTGATTTCTGTGATAGATTCCTTAAAGCTGCTCAGGCTTTGCTGGATAATTGCTTCATCTCTATGGTGTCACTTTAAACACGGGGAAATGTGGCATCTTCTTTAAAACAGTTACTGTAGTTTTTGATCTGTTTGTAATCTACAGCATTAAACAAAGTAAAAGCAGGAACAGGAACAAATGATACCTAACCCCTTGCTTGGCTCTGTAGGGCAGTTTCAGAGTGTGCTGCCTGATACCCTGTTTGCTGAAGAAATCAAGGACAGAAGGAGAAAGCTGTAATGAGACTTTGTGAGTTTTGATTTGAATTTTTAACATGTTTTTCCTTTCAGGTTAGGAACTATATGTGGAAGATCTGTGATTTTAAAATTGAAGTGAAGCCACAAAGCCTCCTGCCAGCAGAGTTAGTTTCTCTGGTTGTGCTTAAAATGGTTCCTCTGTTGCATGCACAAATCAGCTTCCTCTGTGAAAGCAGCAGAAAGCTCAACTCAAAAGTGTTTTGTATTGGTTTTGATGGAAGAATTGTAGGCCATGATTCTTATAGCTCTATTTCACAGTTTTCACCCAAAGTTTCACAGACTTTCCCCTGGTCAGAAACTGTAGAACCTCACCTGTGCAGTTATTGCATGGGGAGATTTTTGGCTGCTCAAGGCAGGAGGTTTTCCTGCACCTTGTCACATGCAGCTCCAAGTGTGTTCCAAGCAGTGAATTTTGGTAAAGCTGCAGAAGAATACAAGTAACACATCAAGATATAGTCCTCACTGGAAAAAAAATTGGTAAGGGGATAGCAGGTTCTGCTATTGCTCAGCAGGAGACAGAAATTCCTGCCTTCCTTTATCTTTGAGCTCTTGATATAGAGAACTGGAATTGCTTCCAGAATCCCTTTCTGAATAATCCTCATGGATAAACTTAGACCCTCACCAGTCCAGCTACAGTTACAAACATGTGAAATAAGATAAAAAATAATGGAGGATTGGAGCAGAGCACCCTTGCAATTTTTTGCAGGCTTCAGATTTTCAGTTTGGTAAGAGCAGTTCATGTGTTATTGTAGCAAGACTTTGAGCCATGTGTTTTCTCTATTTTCTTTACATTTCTTCTTTTCACTGTATCGCCTCACTTCCTCTATTCTGCTCTTTGCCACTGCTCTATCCTTTGACAGTTTTTCCACTGTTCTTTTGTACTTACTTTCCATTTGTTATGGTTTTCTTTATTCTCTACCAAATACTTTTTCCTTTCTTATTTTCTCCCTCCACTAATGTCATCATGCTTTCCCCCCCCCACATTATTATATATTATATGTTGCTTATGCTTATTTTTCTAGTGTTTCTGATTTTATTTCTGTTATTTTCTCTAAGGAAATAAACACATGCCCATGCCCATATATACATAGTTGTTTTTCTCTAGTCACCCTCAAAGAAAAGCTGAACCTTGCAAAAATCATGAGGGAACAGAAGGTGCTCCAGACAGAAAAACCTGTGGGTGACTCTGCTCAAACCCCCGTTATTGTTTTCCCAATTTGTAATTTGATGTGTTTGCATTTACAGCTGGACTGGTGACATTTGCAGTCACCCTTGCACACTGGCTTCCCTGTTACACTCATCCTTTCTTTAAAAGTTCTTCTGTCTGTCCCTCACACACCCAGGACCTGACTCCAGGGAGGTTTCACCTGTGCACATGTGCCCAGTGTAAAGGTAAAACCTCGGCTGTGAGCAGTAGAGCTGTACCTGTGCCTTGTACAAGAACCAGCACACCACGCAAGGGGTTCAGGCTCAGGATCCCTCAGCAGGGTGGCAGAGCACTGCAAGATGTTTCTAGAAGTGATGGTGACTGCTCTGGTGGGTTTGGCTGCAGGGAGGCTTCTGGTTGCAGCAAGAGCTAAATGTCCTCTGTGAGACCCACCAGGGGCTGGGTTTGCATGTTGGCCTTAAGGCTGGAATCCAGCATTGAAGCAATACAAGCTACTGCAGCTTCTCTGTGTCGGCAAAGACTGCCTTTGGAAAAACGTTATTCAAAACATCCTTCAACTGTAAAATAATTTGATGCATAAAGCAAACCTTGTTGACTACCTTTTTAGCAAAATAAGCTATTAATAATCTAGATGCCTTAATGAAAAACCTTTGATACCTTGGGAAAACCCAGAGCTCCTTCTGCCTGGAACTGTTGTTCTTGAAACTCTGTTTTCTTCAGTTCCTTCATTCTTTTTTCTCTCCCACCTGCTTTCTACCAGCAAGTGCCCTGAGACACCAGGGCTGCTGCTCTGTGCTGGGAAAGGCACAGCACCAGCCAGGCTGGCATTAAGCACATCCCCTTGAGCCTGAGGAAATCATGCCCTGGAAGTGTGTGGAGCTGAAGTGAGGCAGTGGAGACAGGCTGCTTCTTGTGCCCGAGCCGGGCATTTGTGCTGCCACCTCTGCCCACTGCTCTTCCTGGGAAAGGGGCAGCAGTGCCTCCTGATTTGCTTGCCTGCTGCCACAGGGCTCTGCTGTCACCTGCCTGCAGAGTCATTTGCAAACAGGCCCTATTGCTGGGGAGCAGAAATGTGTTTTTTTCAACCTGCAGCAGATTTATAGTCTGGTTTCCTGTCAGATCTTTGCATTTTCCTTCTCTGCCCCTCCCAGCCTCTGACACACTTTTTCTTACTTTCTGTGTGGCTCTTTGCTCATTCTGACACCAGTGCCCCCAGCCTCCTTCATTCCTGATTCTCCCGAGACTTTTGTACTTTGGGGGCCAGGGAGTGTTTTGCTTCTTGTGTTTCCTTAACTTTTCAACAGCTGCAGAGCACGAATAACCTTTCCAGGACTCCTGGAGAGACACAGACTGTTGCATGGAGGCGACGTAGAGAGTGCAGCCTGCAGCAGCTGCAGCCCCACAGCCGGTCACTCATGGGCACCCAAGGTAAGGAGAGCAGCTGGCAGAGCAGCTCCCCTCCCTGCTGCCTACACAGCTCTGATCACTGAAAGTTCCACTTTCACCTTTTTCGTGTTGATATTCAAAAGGTTCTTTGAAAATGGTTCCATTTGTGCTTCCCTTGCCATCATCGGGTCTGGTATTCAGCGTGTGTCGATCTTTGGAGCCCAGGCTTGAGGGAGGCAAAGAGGCTGTAGCTGGAGGTGCAAATGTGCACTGGGAAACTGAGTTGATATGGAGGTCTGGAGAGGGGAGATGAAGGACTGATCATCAGTGCTGGTCTCCAGGGTATTTCTGGTTCTACCCATAGTGTGTTGAACTCTAGCCCTTTCTTTAAATCTCTTCACTGAGATTTATGCTTTCTGCTAACAAGTAAAATCTTTATTATTTGGTTTTCTTCCTCTTTTTATTTGTTCTTCTCACTTCCCTTTTTCTTTTCTCAACCCTTTCTATTTCTTATCTTTTTCACCATCTTTTTATGCCTTTTTATGCCTTTTTATGCCATCAAGAGTATTTTCTGTGTGACAAATTATTTCCCTTTTTCATTCCTTTTCTTTCCCTCTGCCTTCTTTCATGTCTGTGCATCCTCCCTCAAGTTCTTAATCTCTCCCTCCCCTCTGTCAGTTCCTTCTTGTTCTTGTGTTCCCCTTTCCCGTTGTTCCTCCAGCTTCACACATGCACTCCTACTTCCTGCTCCATCCCCTCTCTCCTGTGTTTGCTGCACTGGAAAGAGCCTTTCGTGAGAGCTCTTGCCTCTCCACTGGCCTGTCCTTGCACACATGTGTCTCTTAGTCCTGTCATTCCCTTCCATGGAAGTGTTCAGGATTTGCATATTTACAGTTTTGGGGATGCATCCCAAAATAGGAGACTTTTACCCTTGCATAGCTTCCTTCCAATGCTCAGACTCATATTTAGTCATTCACAGCAAATAACCACTGTCATCCTGTCTCTCTGTTTCTGTCTTACAAACAGCATTTTCTAGCACCTGTAACCCCTTTGTCTTCCTCTCCACTCTCAAATAGAGCCTGCCCTGACTTTGTGTATTCTTTCCCTTCTCTTTTTGCCATCCCACTCCTTCCTACCTTCTTACCACAACTCTTCACCAGGTTTCTCTATCTGTTTTTATCTTTATATTGCATTCAAACTAGGAGGAAATGCTGAAGCTGCTGGGCTTGCACTGCTGCCTTAGGATCCCTCTGCCAGCCTGCAGGGGAACCAGAGGAAGTATTGCAGTCTCTCAGCTCCTCTTTCCTCTGCAGAATAACCAACCTGAGCAGAGAAAGAGCTTAGTGACTGAACTGAAGGTAGATGAAAAAATGGGAAAGTACATTGCAAAATGCCTTTTGAAAACTGTAAAAAATAGTTCTAGTTGTTAGTTAATCTTTTTACTAAACTGAATAAACTTCGGCAATTCCTGCCCCACAGCAGAATTTCTTATCTGACACTGGCATAGTTTTTGTCCTTTTGATTCCTATGGGATTCCAAGTCCCAAAGGTAGACGTTCTCATCTCCGATGCTGTAGTGGCAGTTACTTTGCTCCTAGGATCTGGAAACAGCTCATGTCTTTTATACCAGACATACTGGTGAGTCACCAAGATCAGACATGGCTAAAAACTGCATCCAAGGACAATATCTGGTGTTATTCCTTGCTTAAATTTGTATGCTTTGAATCAAATATGACAAATAAGTGTACTTCTTTGATGAAGCTTTTTAGCCTCACCTTCTTGAGCAGGACTATTGAGACTGAAGATTTATTCCTAAGGATGTTCTCGTGTGGTCTTTTGGGAACTGAATAAGTTTCACTTATTAAACTCAGCTGAATTAATAAGAGAATTATTATGTGGGAGAATTCTCTTAGCAATCTGTCTGGCTCTCTCAAATTGTCCATCTCCTTATGAGTGAAAGGAGCTTAAATTTTTATGTTTGCAATTATAAAATATCCTTTCTGATTCAGAGTTAGAAAACTGTGGCCTTTGAGCTGTGAGAATTCTTTCTGAATACAGAAAGAGGTACATTAAAATATCTTTGCCTTTTGGATCTTGCAAAAAGTCCACAAGCCTAGAACAATAAAATACGAGATGCTAATTTTATACATTCAGGTCTAAAATGACTCTTTCTTATTCTGTTGCAACTCATCTTGTGATGGGAACAGCATTTGTATTCCTTTGAGTCATTTGAAAAAGCTTTAGGATGTTGTGCCTTATTTCATCAGTACTTTTTGCCCCTATTACTGGTTCTTTTTGTAAAGGCTCCCATAAATAAATGGGCTGGGACAATGTCTCTTCTCTCTCACCCCCTCCTTTTTCTTTTTGCATCACATTGTTTCCCTGTGTTGAGCTAAAATGGACAGTGTCAAAGGTGTGTTGTGATTTTTGCAAGGGGACCTGGAGACAGAAATTGTATTTTTGTGTGTGTCTGTTTCCAGTTTCTTCAATAATGTGTCTGGCAGAGGAGGAATTTCAGCAGGAAAGAGCCTGGAAACTTTCTATCCTCAGTAAATTTCTGTATCAAGAGAGCCAACCCCAGAACAGAAATTCAGAATCACGTTTTACTCCCTGTTCTTATGCAAATAGTTACTTCCAATTAGATTTAACTCTTAATTAAGAGTTCAATAAACTTTAATGATGAACTTTCTTAATACACTTTCAGCGTGGGAGAAGGAAGAGCCATCTGACTGCCTGTATCTTTTACAATTAAAGTCAATTTGGACCTTCTCTAGAAAGATGAAACCCAGATAACTGGATATGCTGAAGATACCAGAATGCCATACACCAAATGACCTTGGTTTCTGTACAGTTTCTTGGTAAAAGTTTTCATCTGATAGATATATGGAAATGTAAATTTCATCACAGAGGATGAAATTTATAGAGATCCTTAGCTACCCTCTTGTTAGCAGATGGCTTAACTCTCTCTTTGATATTGAAATGCATCTTTCATGAAATACGAATCTTTCACTTAGATATGGTCATTAAGTCGTGTAACTGATGGTGGAGTTTGACCTGTGGCAGCTTTCTTTGGCAGTAGCCTCCACAGCAATCTAAACTTAAAAAGAAATATGGAAGTATGCCATGTGATTTTCAAACTGAAGGGTGAAACCATAAACCCCACCAAGTTTGGTCAAGTCTCACCACTGATATGAGAGAAAAATTCTTTGTCTCTTGTCTGTTTTACCACTGCTGTCTGTAGGATTTGCATTTGCAGAACACTGCTTTGCTGTGAATCCAGTATCTGCAGTGGATCTGCAATTCCTTTTTCAGAACAAATGATGGGGTTTTACAGGCCTACATGTAATAATATTCTCCATCTCTACCCTTCCCCCAAATTTTTTCTTAAGTGCTGCCTTCATCCTCTAGTCTGGGTCACTTATTTAATGGCAATGAACATTTTCAGAAGGTAACCTTTCTGCTTGTGATTTGTTCAAGGACTCTGGAATTATAATGGTTGCTGTCAAATGTGTATAATTGGTGTCTGTGGCACACATCCAATGAGTGATAAAAGCTTCGTTGTCTCTGCTGCTTCAGTCTGTATTCTCTCCCTCTATCACCCTCTCACTTCTGCTGCTCTCAGGCAAGAGGAGAATGCAGTGCCAGGCTGTTTAAAGTGCAGTTAGACAGAACAGCAGCTCTGCCAGATTCCCTGTCACGGAGTGTCCCAGCTCTGGGCAGTGAATTCCCTTGGCTGAGGTTTGCTCACTGACTTGAGTTAAGCACAGTATCCTCTGAAGTTTTATTTCAAACACCTCCCTTCATAACCTTCTGCCAAATATTTGGGCTCTAGGAAGGATGATAGTTTGTGAGTACTATGAACTCCCAAGCTTAGTGACCTACATGTAACATTTTACCAGTGGGTAAGTCTCATAATTGAGATGGAGACAACACAGAGCAACACACTCCATTTTCAGAAGGCTTCAAACTCTTTATTATAGCAGGCATGCTTGTTATACATTCTTACAAAACTCATAAGTTTACACTTTACTCACTGGTCACGAGAGACAAGGTGCTTATTGGAATAGGCAGTTACAGGTTTCTCTTATTTATCCTTCTTTCTTTCTTGGTTTCTATGTCAACAACTTCTCTCTGGCTCATAGAAGTCATGTAAAACCTCTTCCAGAGGTAAAAACTTTGTGCTTTTATATACAAAAAGCAAGCACACATTACTAATAGCACCCAAAACTGGCAACATGTTGTTCGTTGTCTGTTCCCAGTGCTGAACACGTAGTGAAGAGAATATTTCTGTTACTTTAGTCCTGCAAAACCTATTTTATCTTCAGGGCTGGGTGGGTGATTACTTTCTAATGCTGTCTACTTCAGTGAATCTGTTTAGCAACTCAAAAGGAGAGAGAAATTTGTCAAATCTCACTGGAAATCTATCAGAAATGTCAAATGAAATGCTGTAACATTCTGGTTTTGTCAAAAGGATAAATGTATATACAGCTGTGTGTGTGTGATATTATTTGTAGTAATTGTTGCCTCAGTGAATTTCTCTGTGTGAAGAACTTGGTGTTGCATTAAGGGATGTGTTTGTTCTGGTCCCTGAGGCCAGCTTGGCCTTACACAGAGGTACTTGGAATTTGCCCAAGTCAGCCCTGGTTTTTGGAGTTCAGGGGAGGAATCAGCTTCAGTGTAGCCAAGGAAAGGATTCCCACTGGCCGTCTGAGCACTGGGTGTTTGCTGGAAAATTTTCCTCAGGTTGTAATTGAGATGCTGAAGACCAAATGTAGCATAAGTTTTCTGTTTAAAGTGCGATAAGGATTTTTTTTTCCATCTGCATGCAGAAGAAGCTGTATGGTAGCAGTACATATATGGTTGTCATTAGCAGCTGAAGAATTGTTTCCACTTCATTTTTATAGCTCTAAACTTGTAGAAACATCTCAAATCTGGCTGTGCCCATACTTGAAATCAATCTGAGTATACTTAATAAGTTGTTACATGCATTTAGTATATTTGAGCACAAAAATAAGTTCCTCCAAGATTTGAAACACTAATAAA